CTCAGGCAGAGCTTCGGCTCGGACTTTCCTGTTCTGCGTCTGCACTCTGACAGAGGCGGAGAGTTCTCCTCTGGCCTTCTGCGAGCCTTCTGTCGTGCACGAGGCATCCGCCAGACCTTCACGCTTCCTTACTCTCCACAGCAAAATGGAATTGCTGAGCGCCGCATTGGCATGGTCATGGACGTCGCCCGTACGTCCATGATGCATGCGGCTGCCCCCCATTTTCTGTGGTCGTTTGCGGTTCGGTACGCGGCACATCAGATCAACCTTCACCCCAGGGTCTCCAGGCCGGAGACCTCCCCAGCCCTGCTGTGGACGGGGAAGGTTGGCGATGCGTCTGCTTTCTGTGTCTGGGGATCTCGGGCGTTTGTCCGCGACTTGTCTGCGGACAAGCTGTCCCCTCGTGCTGCTCCTTGCGTCTTCCTGGGTTTCCCCCATGACGCGCCAGGGTGGCAGTTCTACCACCCCACCTCTCGCCGTGTTCTGTCCTCCCAGGACGTCACGTTTGACGAGTCGGTCCCCTACTACCGACTCTTCCCCTACCGCACTTTGTCCCTCCCCCCGCCGCCGCTATTCCTTGTCCCAGGTCCCCCCCCGGTAGACCCCCTTCCCCCTCAGGGTCCGTCCCCTTCAGGTGTGTCCCAGGTAGACGCAGACGAGCCTGTCGAGGTCACTGGTGACTCTGGTGCTGTTGAGGGTGCTGAGCATGGGGGTGCTGACTCTGTGCAGGCTGAGCGTGGGGGTGCTGAGTATGGGGGTGCTGAGCCTGGGGGTGCTGGGCCTGGGGGTGCTGAGCCTGGGGGTGCTACGCCTGGGGGTGCTGAGCCTGGGGGTGCTACGCCTGGAGGTGCTGAGCCTGGGGGTGCGGAGCCTGGGGGTGCTGAGCCTGGAGGTGCTGAGCCTGGGGGTGCGGAGCCTGTAGGAGCTGCGCCTGCTGGTGCTGTGTCTGGCGGTCCTCTAGGTGCTTCGTCTCGACGGGAGCCACTCTCTCCACAGGAGCTGCGTGAGTGGTTTGCCCGGCGCTGGAGGCGGGCTGCTGGAGCTGGAGGTTCTTCGACTGCTGAGGGTACTGGTGCTGAGGGTCCCAGAGGTGCTGGGCCTGCGGGTACTTCTGGAGCTGGAGTTGCTGAGGGTGTTGTCGCTGAGGCTACTGCTGTCGGTGCTGGAGGTGCTGCTGGTGCTGCTGGAGGTACTGGAGCTGGAGGTGCTGCTGGCGCTGGTGCTGCCGCTGGCAGTACTGGTTATGTCCCTGCTGTGACTGGAGTCGCCGCGCGGCCTCGGCCGTACTTCGTTCTGCTCCTTCAGCAGGTTCTTGGTCTCCCGCCTTCTACTGGTCCTCCTCCTCCCTTAGAGTGTTCACTGCCTGACCCATCATAGCTACAGTTACAACCGACCCCCCCACTGCCTGCTCTGTCTCCCTACACTGGTCCTACTAGAGGTCTTGTTGAGCGTCGTGAGCCTGCGTCTCGCCCTGCGTCGCGTGTCCGTGCTGCTTGCACTAGTGGTCGCGGTTCGCGTCAGCGTCCTCCTCCTGTCCCTGGCACGCACCGGATGTCTGTGCGTCCGTCCACTGCTCCACTGCGTGCCCCTTTACCTTCTCCTCCTGAGTCCTCTCTTCCTGCTCTTGCCGACCCTGAGTCGGACTCTCTTCGTACTGCCAGTCCTACTGTCACGCGTCTCCTTGCTACTGTTGTCACTGACCCTTCTTTTGAGTCCACTGCTGCGTCTGCCCTAGTTGCTGAGCTCGTCGACTTTGCTGCTCGCATTCGTCTCAACTACGCTGCTAGTCTTGTCGCTGAGTCTGAGTCTGTCTGTCCTCCGTCCGTTGGGGGTGAGTGTGCCCTGGGCACGGACGTCCTTGAGGACAGGCAGGAGGAGTTCCAGTGTCTGGCTGCTGCTTGACCTCATCTCGTGTCCGTACTACTTACCCCTGAGGGAGACCTGGATGCACTTGACATCCCGACTCCGCGCTCTTACGCGGAGGCGATAGAGGGTCCCTACTCCTCTTAGTGGCAGGCAGCTATGGACGCAGAGATGGCTTCCTGGAAATCCACAGGCACCTACGTTGACGAGGTTCCCCCGCCTGGGGCGAACATCGTCAGTGGCATGTGGATTTTCAGGGTGAAGCGGCCGCCGGGTTCTCCGCCTGTCTTCAAGGCGCGGTACGTGGCTCGTGGCTTCAGTCAGCGGCAGGGAGTTGACTACTTTCAGACCTTCTCTCCCACCCCGAAGATGACCACTCTTCGGGTGCTGCTGCACATAGCCGCTCAGCGCGACTACGAGCTTCACTCTCTTGACTTCAGCACTGCTTTCTTGCAGGGCAGCCTGCACGAGGAGATCTGGCTGCGCCGTCCACCTGGCTTCACTGGGACTTTTCCTCCTGGCACCCAGTGGAGCCTCCGGCGGCCAGTCTACGGTCTCCGCCAGGCACCGTGTGAGTGGCACGACACACTGAGGACTACGCTTGCGGCTCTTGGGTTTGCTCCCTCTACTGCCGACCCGTCGCTGTTTCTACGCACCGACACTTCTTTGCCGCCGTTCTACATCCTCGTGTACGTCGACGACTTGGTCTTTGCCACAGCTGACACTGCTAGACTCGCTCACGTGAAGTCCGAGCTGCAGAAGAGACACACGTGCACAGACCTGGGTAAACTGCGCAGCTACCTTGGCTTGCAGATCACCCGGGACAGAGCACGCCGCACCATTACCCTGACTCAGTCACACATGGTGCAGCAGGTCCTTCAGCGCTTCGGCTTCACGTACTCCTCGCCTCAGGCCACTCCTCTGCCTACTCGCCACTCGCTCTCAGCTCTGCCTTCGGATGAGTCCGTAGAGTCGAGTGGCCCGTACCCAGAGCTTGTTGGCTGCCTCATGTACCTGATGACCTGCACTCGACCTGACCTTGCATACCCTCTTAGCATTCTCGCACGCTATGTTGCTCCTGGGAGACACAGACCGGAGCACATGGCTGCAGCGAAGAGGGTGTTGCGCTACTTGTGCAGTATGTCGGGCATGGGGCTTGTGCTTGGAGGGCGGAGTCCAGTGGTCCTTACTGGGCACGCAGACGCTTCTTGGGCTGACGACCAGGCTACGCAGCGGTCGTCACAGGGTTACACCTTCAGTCTTGGTTCCGGCTCTGTTTCGTGGCGGGCTACCCGCTCGTCTTCTGTTCTCGGCTCCAGTTGTGAGGCTGAGATCTACGCCGGGGCCATGGCTGCACAGGAGATTCGCTGGCTCACCTACTTGCTGTCTGACTTTGGAGAGGTGCCTCGTTCTCCTCCAGTGCTGTACGTAGACAACAAGGCCATGCTGGCCTTGTGTCGAGAGCAGAGACTGGAGCACAGAATAAAGCACATTGCTCTTCTCTACTTCCTTGCTTGTGAGCTGCAGCAGCGTGGTCAGCTGCGTCTTGCGTACGTGGCCTCTGAGGCCAACACTGCTGATATCTTCACCAAGGCACTTGCGCCTTGTGATCATCAGTGCTTCTGTACTCAGCTTGGTCTTGTGCCTGTCTTGCCTCACTTGCTCACCTCTTGACCTTGCTTGTACTGTTACATATATTTACACCTGCTCTTCCTTGTCTAGCCTTTTATATATATATGTACTCCTGCATGTGAACTGGCCTTGTGGCCTTGATCTTGTGCTCGGAATGTGTGGTGACTTTGTGATCCACCCTGAGCTTGCTTTGCTTTGCTTGACTGGTCTTGTGACCCCTTGTTCTCCCCCACTTTTCCTATGGGGGTGTGTCAAATTATAATGTTGTGTAGGCTGTAGTGGGGTAGCCTATATGGGGTACACAATGCTAGGGTTGCATACTTGTATCACTTTCATTCCTTAGTCATTCATTCTCGTTTCTTCTCAAGTACTTGTACCCAACTCTTTCATAGTGCATTCATTCTCGTTTCAGTTTTCTCATGGTATCAAGCAGGTTCCCTCGTGGGAACTGTTCCTAGGGCCCACCGATTCGATTTTTTTTTTCCTGCCCGGAGCGCGCTCAGCCCTTGCCCGAGTCGCGCTCCCCCCTTTCTCACTGTGTCGCGCCGCCCTAGCGGCTGTGTCGCGCCGCCCTTGACGGCCCCGATTCGCCGCCCTAGCGGCCCCGTCACCTACCTAGCGGCCCTCGAGCCGCCTTTCCCGGCCCCGATTCGCCCCCCTTTCGGCCCCGTCGCCTACCCCGCGGCCCTCGCGCCGCCCTTCTCGACCCGGCCCCGACCCTACGGCCCCGTCGCCTACCTGCGGCCCCGCCGCCTACCTGCAACCCCGCCGCCTACCTGCGGCCCCGTCGCCTACCTGCGGCCCCGCCGCCTTTCTGCGGCCCCGCCGCCTACCTACGGCCCCCTCGCCTACCTGCGGCCCCGCCGCCTAGCTGCGGCCCCGCCGCCTACCTGCGGCCCCGTCGCCTACCTGCGGCCCCGCCGCCTACCTGCGGCCCCGTCGCCTACCTGCGGCCCCGCCGCCTACCTGCGGCCCCGTTGCCTACCTCTGGCCCCGTCGCCTACCCTAGGGCCCCGGCGCAGCCCCTTCCCGGCCCCGGCCCAGCCCCTGCTGGCCCCGTCGCACGCCCTTCCCGGCCCCGACCGCGCCTTCACGCATCCCCGCCGGGCTACTGCCGAGCCGCCAACGCCACCCGAGCCGCCGTGCCACCTAAGCCGCCCGAGCCGCCGTCCCGCCGAGCCGCCTGAGCCGCCCGAGCCGCCCGAGCCGCCGTCCTGCCGAGCCGCCCGAGCCGCCCGAGTTGCCTGAGACGCCCAAGCCGCCCGAGCCGCCCGAGTCGCAGAGTAGCCGAGCCGCCGAGCTGCAGTTCCTGCCGAGCTGCCGAGCTGCAGTTCCTGCCAAACTGCCGAGCCGCAGAGCTGCCCGAGCCGCCCTGTCCGGTAAGAGCAGCGCCTCTGTCACTGCACTGCCCTTACCCCACTATTCGCGCTACTAGTCTATTGCTGTCATGGCTACCCCCAGTGTCCTCGCTTTTGGCCATTGACTTTGATGTCTGGGTAGATGACATGCAGCTTTTCCTACAGTGCGATAGGGCAAACGGTCTCTCCCTCTTTGACCTCACCTCTGGTGCCTCTCCTGCCCCTGCTGCTGATGCTGATGCCACTGTTCGCGCACAGTGGGCCACACGCGATGCTGCTGCACGTCTTGCTGTGCGTCGCCACCTCCCTACCTCCGAGCGTGCGCACTTTAGCCAGTACAAGAGTGCTCAGACCTTGTACGACGCTGTAGTTGCATGCTACTCCTCCCCTGCCACTGCTTCACTGAGCCGCCTCATGCTACCGTACCTCTTCCCTGACCTTGCCGCCTTTCCCACAGTCGCTGACCTCATTACGCACCTCCGCACTAGTGACACTCGCTACCGCGCTGCGCTTCCTGCTGAGTTCTGCGCCAAGAACTCCCCCCCCCCATGTACATCACTCTCTACTACATAGTCACCCGCCTCCCTGACTCCCTTCGCGTAGTATGGGACCACTTCCTCTCAGTTTGCCCCACCACCCTCACCGTTGACCTCCTCGAGAAGGCCCTCCTAGCAGCTGAGAAGAGCATAGTCGCTGTAGGAGCCTCTCGTGGTGACCCTCGCACCCCCATCTTTGAGGGGTGTTCCCCCTCCCCCCTTTTGCCCTTTGTTGCCTCTGCTGCTGCGGCTGACCTCGTTGGGCTTGAGTCGGTCGGTGCGGCGTCTACCCCTAGTGGGAGATGCCGCCCTGGCAAGGGCAAGGGGGGTAAGGGCGCTGGAGGAGCTAGCGGGGGCGGTGGAGGCGGCGGTGGAGGCGGCGGAGGGAGTGGGGGTGGCGGTGGAGGTGGTGGCGGGGGTGGAGGTGTCGGGGGCGGCAGTGGAGGCGGAGGAGGCGGCAGTGGCGGTGCGAGCGGAGGTGGTGGCGGGGGTGGAGGCGGTGGAGGAGGCGGTGGCGGAGGAGGTGGAGCTGGTCCGGGTGGCACTGCGCAGAGGATCGGCTGCGGTGGAGGTCAGCGCCAGCAGCAGCAGCACCCGCAGCGCACTCGTGACATCACCTCCCCTCAGCAGCTCCGTGAGTGGTACACTGCACGCCAGCGGGGTGGGGGTACTGGTCCGTGCACCTACGTCCTACGCACCGGCGACCGCGCGGGTGAGCAGTGCGGGGGTGCGCACTCCACCCAGCGCTGCTTTGGCCGCCTGACGGACGCTTGGCGTCACCAGTTCCCGGAGGCCACGGAGATCCCCCGCTGGGGTGAGCTGTCTAGGGCGGGAGTAGCTGTGACTATTAGTGATGAGGGTGACTGTTACCGGTGTCTTCCGCCCAACCCGGGCATTGAGACTGCCGCTCTAGGTACTCGTGAGGCTGCTGCTCTAGGTACTAGCGAGGCTGCTGCTCTAGGTGCTCGTGCGTCTGCTCCCTCAGGTGCTGGTGAGTATGCTCTCTCAGGTGCTGTGTCGGCTTCGGCCTCCCACACCTTCACTCTTGACTCGGGGGCTTCTCGCTCCTTCTTTCGAGACCGCACCACACTCCCGCCGCTTGGCCGGCCAGTTGCAGTCTCTCTGGCAGACCCCTCTGGGGGTCCTGTCCTTGCTCACTACTCCACTGTCCTCCCGTGTCCGGCGGCCCCCTCTGGCACCCTGTCTGGTCTTTACCTCCCCTCGTTCTCTACGAACTTGGTGAGTGGTGCTGACCTACAGGATGCGGGGGTTCACCAGTTCACTCCAGCGCGTCAGCGGGTGACCCACTACACGGACGCTCGGACAGGCCGACACCTGGCCGCGTTTACACGTCGGCCGGGGTCGAGCCTGTACACACTGACCACTGCGTCTCCTCCAGACACTGCGTCTGGTCAGGTAGCTGCGTCGGGTCAGGTGTTTGCTGCAGCGTCCAGGTCTGGTCCTGAGTCTGCCCCCTGCTCGTGTCGCCTCCTGTCTCACGAGACTCTCCTCTGGCACCACCGCCTTGGTCACCCCTCCCTGCTTTGTCTCCGAGGCATGGCCTCCCGTGTCCTTGTCTCTGGTCTTCCCTGGTCCCTCCCTCCCCTTCCTCCTGGGCCTGGCCCTACCTGCGTCCCCTGTGTCGAGGGGCGGCAGCGGGCTGCCCCTCACTCCTCCCAGTTTCCTCCGACAGAGGCCCCGCTGCAGACGCTTCACCTGGACGTGTGGGGCCCGGCCCGCGTCCGTGGACAGGGTCACGAGCGCTACTTCCTGCTGGTGGTTGACGACTACTCGCGTTACACCACAGTCTTCCCCTTGCGCAGCAAGGGTGATGTCACTGCGGTGTTGATCGACTGGATCCGCGCAGCTCGTCTCCAGCTCAGGCAGAGCTTCGGCTCGGACTTTCCTATTCTGCGTCTGCACTCTGACAGAGGCGCGGAGTTCTCCTCTGACCTTCTGCGAGCCTACTGTCGTGCACGAGGCATCCGCCAGACCTTCACGCTTCCGGAATCCCCACAGCAAAATGGGATTGCTGAGCGCCGCATTGGCATGGTCATGGATGTAGCTCGTACGTCCATGATGCATGCGGCTGCCCCCCATTTTCTGTGGCCGTTTGCGGTTCGGTACGCGGCGCATCAGATCAACCATCACCCCATGGTCTCCAGGCCGTAGACCTCCCCAGCTTTGCTGTGGACGGGGAAGGTTGGCGATGCGTGTGCGTTCCGTGTCTGGGGATCTCGGGCGTTTGTTCGCGTCTTGTCTGCGGACAAGCTGTCCCCTCGTGCTGCTCCTTGCGTCTTCCTTGGCTTCCCCCCTGACGCGCCAGGGTGGCAGTTCTACCACCCCACCTCTCGCCGTGTTCTGTCCTCCCAGGACGTCACGTTTGACGAGTCGGTCCCCTACTACCGCCTCTTCCCCTACCGCACTCCGTCCCTCCCCCCGCCGCCGCTCTTCCTTGTACCAGGTTCCCCCCGGTAGACCCCCTCCCCCCTCAGGGTCCTGCCCCTTCAGGTGTGCTCGAGGTAGACGCAGTCGAGCCTGTCGAGGTTACTGGTGACTCTGGTACTGAAGGTGAGCCTGGGGGTGCTGACTCTGGGGGTGCTGAGCGTGTGGGTGCTGCGCCTGGGGTTGCTGAGCCTGCGGGTGCTACTACTGGGGGTGTTGAGCCTGGGGGTGCTGCGACTGGGGTTGCTGAGCCTGGGGGTGCTGAGCCTGGGGGTGCTGAGCCTGGGGGTGCTACGCCTGGGGGTGCTGAGCCTGGGGGTGCTACGCCTGGGGGTGCTGAGCCTGGAGGTGCGGAGCCTGAGGGGGTTGGGCCTACTCGTGTGGCGTCTTGCGGTGCTGGGCCTGGAGGTTCTCCGGGTGCTTCGTCTCGACGGGAGCCCCTCTCTCCACAGGAGCTGCGTGAGTGGTTTGCCCGGCGCTGGAGGCGTGCTGCTGGAGCTGGAGGTTCTGTGACTGCTGAGCGTGCTGGTGCCGTGGGTCCCGGAGGTGCTCGTGCTGGGAGTACTGGAGGTGCTGGGCCTGCGGGTGCGACTGGAGCTGGAGCTGCTGAGGGTGTTGGTGCTGAGGCTACTGCTGTCGGTCCTGGAGGCGGTCCTACTGGGGGTACTACTGGTGCTGCTGGAGGTACTAGAGCTGGAGGTGCTCCTGGCGCAGGTGCTGCCGCTGGGGGTACTGGTGCTGTCCCTGCTGTGTCTGGAGTCGCCGCGCGACCTCGGCCATACTTCGTTCCGCTCCTTCAGCAGGTTCTTGGTCTCCCGCCTTCAACTGGTCCTTCTCCTCCCTTAGAGTGTCCACAGCCTGTCTCGTCACACTTACAGCCGGCCTCCCCGCTACCTGCTCCTTCTCCCTACACTGGTCCTACTGGAGGTCTTGCTGAGCGTCGTGAGCCTGCATCTTGCCCTACGTCGCCTGTCCGTCCTGCTCGCACTAGTGGTCGTGGTTCGCGTCACCGTCCTCCTCCTGTCCCTGGCACGCACCGGATGTCTCTGCGTCCGTCCACTGCTCCTCTGCGTGCCCCTTTACCTTCTCCTCCTGAGTCTTCTCTTCCTGCTCTTGCCGACCCGGAGTCGGACTCTCTTCGTGCTGCCAGTCCTACTGTCACGCGTCTCCTTGCTACTGTTGTCGCTGACCCTTCCTTTGAGTCCACTGCTGCGTCTGCTCTAGTTGCTGAGCTCGTCGACTTTGCTGCTCACTGTCGTCTAGACTACGCTGCTAGTCTTGTCGCTGAGTCTGAGTCTGTCTGTCCTCCGTCCGTCGGGGGTGAGTGTGCCCTTGGCACGGACGTCCTTGAGGACAGGCAGGAGGAGTTCCAGTGCTTGGCCGCTGCTTCACCTCATCTCGTGTCCGTACTGCTTACCCCTGAGGGAGACTCGGATGCACTTGACATCCCGACTCCGCGCTCTTACGCGGAGGCGATAGAGGGTCCCTACTCCTCTCAGTGGCAGGCAGCTATGGACGCAGAGATGGCTTCCTGGAAGTCCACAGGCACCTACGTTGATGAGGTTCCCCCGCCTGGGGCGAACATCGTCAGTGGCATGTGGATTTTCAGGGTGAAGCGGCCGCCGGGTTCTCCGCCTGTCTTCAAGGTGCGGTACGTGGCTCGTGGCTTCAGTCAGCGGCAGGGAGCTGACTACTTTCATACCTTCTCTCCCACCCCGAAGATGACCACTCTTCGGGTGCTACTACACATAGCCGCTCAGCGCGACTACGAGCTTCACTCTCTTGACTTCAGCACAGCTTTCTTGCAGGGGAGCCTGCACGAGGAGATCTGGCTGCGCCGCCCACCTGGCTTCACTGGGAATTTTCCTCTTGGCACCCACTGGAGCCTTCGGCGGCCAGTCTACGGTCTCCGCCAGGCACCGCGTGAGTGGCACGACACACTGAGGACTACGCTTGCAGCTCTTGGGTTTGCTCCCTCTACTGCCGACCCGTCGCTGTTTCTACGCACCGACACTTCTTTGCCGCCATTCTACATCCTCGTGAACGTCGACGACTTGGTCTTTGCCACAGCTGACACTGCTGGACTCGCCCACGTGAAGTCCGAGCTGCAGAAGAGACACACGTGCACAGACCTGGGTGAACTGCGCAGCTACCTTGGCTTGCAGATCACCCGGAACAGAGCACGCCGCACCATTACCCTGACTCAGTCACACATGGTGCAGCAGGTCCTTCAGCGCTTCGACTTCACGTACTCCTCGCCTCAGGCCACTCCTCTGCCTACTCGCCACTCACTCTCAGCTCTGCCTTCAGATGAGTCCGTAGAGTCGAGTGGCCTGTACCCAGAGCTTGTTGGCTGCCTCATGTACCTGATGACCTGCACTCAACCTGACCTTGCATACCCTCTTAGCATTCTCGCACGCTATGTTGCTCCTGGGAGACACAGACCGGAGCACATGGCTGCAGCAAAGAGGGTGTTGCGCTACTTGTGCAGTACGTCGGGCATGGGGCTTGTGCTTGGAGGGCAGAGTCCAGTGGTCCTCACTGGGCACGCAGACGCTTCTTGGGCTGACGACCAGGCTACGCAGCGGTCGTCACAGGGTTACACCTTCAGCCTTGGTTCTGGCTCTGTTTCGTGGCGGGCTACCCGCTCGTCTTCTGTTCTCGGCTCCAGTTGTGAGGCTGAGATCTACGCCGGGGCCATGGCTGCTCAGGAGCTTCGCTGGCTCACCTACCTGCCGACTGACCTCGGAGAGCCGCCTCGTTCTCCTCCAGTGCTGTACGTAGACAACAAGGCCATGCTGGCCTTGTGTCGAGAGCAGAGACTGGAGCACAGAACGAAGCACATTTCTCTTCGCTACTTCCTTGCTCGTGAGCTGCAGCAGCGTGGCCTCTGAGGCCAACAGTGCTGATATCTTCACCAAGGCACTTGCGCCTTGTGATCATCAGCGCTTCTGTACTCAGCTGGGTCTTGTGCCTGCCTTGCCTCACTTGCTCACCTCTTGACCTTGCTTGTACTGTTACATATATATATACCCTGCTCTTGCTTGTCTAGCCATTTATATATATATATATATATATATATATATATATATATATATATATATATATATATATATATATATATGTACTCCTACATGTGAACTGGCCTTTTTGGCCTTGACCTTGTGCTCGAAATGTGTGGTGACTTTGTTATCCACCCTGAGCTTGCTCTGCTTTGCTTTGCTTGACTGGTCTTATGACCCCTTGTACTCCCCCACTTTGCCTATGGGGGTGTGTCAGAACATTATAGCTTATGCTTTTGTGTAGGCTGTAGTGGGGTAGCCCATATAGAGTACAACCCAATTAGGGTCAGTACTTGTACCCAACTCTTTCATAGTGCATTCATTCTCGTTTCAGTTTTCTCACGCAGAGCAGGAACGATGTGGCTTGCTCCCTCCGCTGCACGGCCCGCCTCGTCAGCGTCGTCGTACGCTCTTACCGCTGCGTCTTGTGCATCTGGTTTCCATCGTGTGTCTGGCTTGTTGATCGAGGCAGACCACAGTGTGCAGAGAGCAGCCGTGATACTTATCGCGTACGTCACAGGGTCAACAGTTGCTGGCGGGTTCGGTACCCCTGCCTTCGTCCCAAGTAGAGCTGCTCGAGCCACACCTGCAGAGAGGGCGATCTCTAACCTTATCTACCGTGCAATAAGGTCGGTAGTTTTCTTCATAAGGACCTTGAAACTGCACCAGAGAACAAAGGTAGGGGTGGGGTTAGAAATCATACACAAGGGTGTTCGTTGGCGCAGAAGTCATTTTGTGATCTAAACTCACTTGGCATATCTGTCCAGCGACAGCTCGTTGATGACACTCCACATGCCAGTCGGCAGAGATACCGCATATTGGAGTTCATCGCGCCACCTTTCAATATCTGTGGCGGGGATCCCGTAAGACGACAAGTTGCAATCCGGGAAGTACGCCAGCCAGCAGACACAGACGGTGAAGTTTCTACTCCACGCCTCCTTATGTGACCCCATGTTCCGCTTCTTGCCCCCTAGTGTCTGCTCAGATGTGTACCGCATCTTCTCAGGATCGTTTTTGTTTCTCTTGAACAATCCCGGCGCCTTGAACGGCCGATACACTCCATGTCTCTTCCCCTCGTCGTCCGCCTCAGGAACTGGCTGCTCGTGCGAATCATCATCGGCTCTCTCTACATCTGCGTCGCCCACTTGCAGAACCTGTAGAACACCGGACCCAAGGGTGGGCAAATCGACCCCACCCCGCGTTGCATCTACTAGATGCACACCCGCATCCCCTGGCATTGAATTGTTGATACAGCATAGCCTCTTTGCTGCAGGCCTTTCAGTGTCACACTCCGATTGTACGCGTTGACGTCTCCGGTCACCATCCGCGTCTTGGGTGACCATCACTTCCTTGTCATGGACAACTCGTAAAGCACCATCTGCCCCCCTCTCCGTACGATCCACATTCATCGTGATCCACTCAGCATCTTCGCATTGACTCTGCCCCACTCCTGCATCTCGCTCCTGCATCTCTGCATAATTCTGCGCTCTTTTTTCCGCAGCCGTTGCGCTCCTTTGTTCCCTCTTCTGCATTCGTCCGCCGCTGTCCTCTTCTGCAGAAAGATAGTCTGCAGACCGCACGTTATCTAGGTTTAGTGTTCTGCGCCCTTCAGCTTCTACGGCTTCCCGGCGTGGTAATGTGGCATGATCAGGCGCAAGCGAGGGCACACCAGTATCCTTTGTCTCGATCCTGTCTCCTGAAGTACCCCAATTTGTGCGTTCTCGCGCGTCGAAAGCCACCAGTGGTGTAGATCCAGTCACCGCTTCCGTAGACCGCGCATCCATCTGCCGCGCCATCCTAGCTCTCTCTACCATGGAGGTGGCAATCGTGATACCACGTTGTGCTGTCAGTCCAGAGAGGGATCCTGTTATTGTCCTCGGAAAACGGGCTGGTGGTGCGGGTGCTTGTCGTGCAGATTCTCCCCGTTCCACAACTCCCTCCGAAACTTCCACTGTACGTTCTAGCGGACCCTCTACATTGCAACTGTCGGTAGCTGTTACACCGAGATCTGCCACGTGATAGCTTTGCAGCAGTTCCTCTGCCGTGATCTCTTGCTCGTCCTCCTTTGCCAAACGCTCTAGCTCGTCCTCAAGTCGCTTTCGCTCAATCTCCATTTCCCTATGCCGTCTTTCCGCTTCTGCCCTCTCCCGTGCAGCATCCTCCTCAAGGCGCTTGCGCCTTGACTCTGCCATCGAAAGTGCTGCCGCCCTCGCCGCGCGCCTCTGCGCCGCTACCCGTTCCTGTTCGACTCTTAGCCTCGCCTCTTCCGCCTCTCTAGCAGCACGCTGCTCCTCCTCGAGCGCTCTCTGCCGCTCTGCTTCCTCCATGCGCCGCTGTTGCTCCGCAGCCTCACTAGCACACTGTTCATTCGCTTTTTCTCCATCCTTGTCAGCCCGCCCCACGCTGGTCACCGCCGTGGGTTTGCCACGTCCCATCTGCGCCTCCCTTTCAATGCTGGTGTGTTCCCCTCCTGTCTCTGTACGTCTTTCCGACTCCAACATCTCCTGTTGGCCTGCAAACCCCCATCTCTCGACCATGTTCGCGGCTGCCGCGAGCGCTGCATCTGGGGAGTTGTCACACGCGAAAGGTTGGGAGAAGTGCGGGGCAGACGGTGGGTTGGGTTGTTGGACCGGAACTTGGCCGACCTGTATCCTCCCAGACAGCTCTTCATCCACCGCTGCCAGTATGTCGACTTTCATAGTCTCAAGCCTCCGGCAATTCTCATCCATCGCAGACTTGACCCCCGCAAGTGTTTCCTGGACGTTGGCGATAATAGCCTTTTTCATCGTGTCCATGTAGTCGTTGGGTAGAACCACCCTAAGTCTTCCCTCCAGCGCCGCCCGACCTATTGCCGCATCTACCCCCTCTTTCACATGCTCCTTCAACGAGCTCAACAACGTCACGTACTCCCGTGCCACTGCGCGTTGAACTGATTCGGCTACTCTGCGATGGAGCCCCTGTATAGAAGTGTTGATTTCCGTGCGTGTCTGCGCTGCCCTCTGACGTTCGATGATTGCTATCGCCTTAGCCTCTCTGTACTCCCGCAACATGTTTTCAGCGTCTTCGTTGTAGTCCTCTGTCCACCGGGCAATGCGCGTACATGCAGATTGGAGCTGACGGAGGTTGCCACTAATCCTAGCATTCTGTTGTGCGGAGCTGCTGGCCACGGCCTGCGAGACGAACGTTAGACGTCTTAGGACTTCTGTCACTCCGGCCACACCTCCACCAACTCCGGTTGTTCCTGCCTCCACAAACCCTTCATCAGTCTCCTCTAATATGGCCTCTCCTTGCATGACGTTCTGCCGTACGAAGTTCCCGGCTTCCCCCCACTCTCGTTCTCTCTGCGTCATAGCACTATCGCGGCCGGCGTTTCGAAACTGATCACTCGCATCACGCGTAGCCCTCGCCACTTCATCACCTGCCACCGCCTCCGCCATCCTCTCTTCCCGCTCAACCCGCATCCTCTTTGTTTGCAATCTTGCTCTTCGCGTGACACCCTGCTCGTCCCACCTACGGCGCATGTGCTCAACCTCTTGCATCGCTCTCGTTGCAGATGCCTCACGCTCCCGTTCAGCGTCTGCCAACCTTCGCTCATCCTCGGCGATTGCCCGTACTGTCGCATCATCCAAAGCCTGGGACGCTCGAGATGCGTTTCCCCCATTCCCTGCAGTTTCTGTCTCCGCGTTTGCTCTTTGCACTTCAACCGCACTATCCCGTTCATTCTCCTCCCGTGCGCTCCGAGCGTCCTCCGCCAGAATCTGACGCAATGCCTCGGCCTCTACCCTCGCCATCTCTGCAGCGTGTAGTCTTTCCCGCTCCCCCTCCGCTCTACACCGTTCTCGTTGCGCCCTAAGCCGCTGGACAACTTCTGCCAACTCCTGTTCATGTTCTATACGCTCCCGCTCTTCGGCAGCTCTCCTCCTCGCTGCCTCCTCGCGTCGTTGGCGAGACTCCAGTTCATCCACCCATCTGTGGCGCATCTCCTCAAGCTCAGCAGCCCTCATCTCATCCCCTTGAGTTCTTCCTTGTTCCCCGCCCACTCTCCCATGCTCTGTCGATGTTGTAACACTCTCTACCCCCATATCAACATCTGCATTCTGCCGAGGGTCCTCTGTCGTTCGGTGAGCCGCCGTCGTGGCAATGCGCGTTTCCTCCGCGCTGGGTAGTAACGCCTCGGACTCAAGCCTAAACTCAAACCTCCGCAGATCCTCCTCCTCTCTACGTATAATCGCCTCTGCCTCGCTCATGACCCTCTCTACCAGTTGTCTACGCCGCTCTTCCTCCTCTCTGCGAGATAACAAGTCTGCCTCGTCCCTCATCCGCTCTGCCGCTGCAGCCCTCCTTCGCTCCTCTACGGCCATCGCCTTATCTGCCTCCTCTCTTGCACGCCGCTCCTCTTCCTCTCCACGAATCATTGCAACGGCGTCCGCCCTCACCCTATCTGCAGCCTCTGCCCTCTGACGTTCATGCTCCTCTCTCATGCGCGCCTCTGCGGCCCTCGCCCTCTCTGCCGACTCTCTAGCACGCAGCGCCTCTTCCTCTCTGCTCACGATCGATGCTGCCTTTGTCCTGACCCTCTCCTCAGCCTCTTCACTCTGCCGTTCATGTTCCGCTCTCCTTTGCTCCTCTACGACCTTCGCCTTATCTGCCTCCTCTCTTGCCCGCCTATCCTCTTCCTCTCTACGAATCATTGCTTCTGCGTCCACCCTCACCCTATCTGTAGCCTCGGTCCTTTGACGTTCCTGCTCCTCTCTCATGCGCTCCTCTGCGGCCCTCGCCCTCTCTGCCGACTCTCTAGCACGCAGCGCCTCTTCCTCTCTACAAACGATCGCTGCTGCCTCCGTCCTGACCCTCTCCTCAGCCTCTTCCCTCTGTCGTTCCTCTTCCGCTCTCCTGCGTTCCTCTACAACCTTTGCCTTATCTGCATCCTCTCTTGCACGCCACTCCTCTTCCTCTCTACGAACCATTTCAGCTGCTTCCGCCCTCACCCTATCTGTAGCCTCTGCCCTCTGACGTGTCTGCCTCTCTCTCACGAGCTCCTCTGCAACCCTCGCCCGCTCTGCCGCCTCTCTAGCACGCAGCGCCTCTTCCTCTCTGCGAACGATCGCTGCTGCCTCCGTCCTGACCCTCTCCTCAGCCTCTTCCCTCTGTCGTTCCTCTTCCGCTCTCCTGCGTCCCTCTACAACCTTTGCCTTATCTGCATCCTCTCTTGCACGCCGCTCCTCTTCCTCTCTACGAACCATTTCAGCTGCTTCCGTCCTCACCCTATCTGCAGCCTCTGCCCTCTGCCGTTCCAGCTCTTCTCTTTTGCCCTCCTCTAAGCGAACCATCACCGCCGCCTCCAGCCTTAATCTATCTGCAGTGGTCGCCTTATCTGCTTCCTCTCTCAGACGCGCTGCCTCATCCTCTTTCCGCAATTTTGCCGATGCCTCGACCCTAGCTCTCTCTGCGGCCTGCGTTCTCAGCATTTCCTCCGCTGCTCTCTTCCGCTCCTCTGCGGCATTTGCTCTTTCTGCTGCTAGTTGACGCCGCGCCTCCTCCTCGGCCCGTAATCTCGCACCTCCCTCCAGCGCCCGTGTTTGTTTCTCTGCTGCCAGCGCTGCCACTCCGGTTCCCTCAGTTGTACGATGCGCCTCCCCCTCTTTACGTTTGTTCGCCTCTGCCTCCAACCTGGCCCTCTCTGCGTCCTCAACCCCCCGCCGTTCCTCCTCCGCTCTTTTTCGCTCCTCTGCGGCTTTGGCTCTTTCTGCCACCTCGTGAGGTCGATGCGTCTCCGCCTCCATGCGTACCGTCGCCTCACCATCAGCCCTGGCCCTCTTCACATGCTCTGCACTCTGTCGGTCCTCCTCCATCCTCTTCTTCTCGTTTGCGGCCCTTGCCAGTTCCTCCTCCTTCCGCACACGTCGAGTTACCTCCTCTATTTGTCTAAACTCCTCTGCCATTGATTTCGCCTTCTCTGCTGCCTCAGCCTTTGCTGCCTCGACCATTTCTCTGTCTGGCTCTCCTGGTCCTGGCCCAGAATCATGCTCGATGCCGCGCAACACCTCTGCGTTCCCGTTCACTACCGCGTCTATCTCTATCGTCACACTCTCTGGTAGCCCACCTCCATTCCCCACCGAAGCCGGCTGTTGATTTGCACTACCATGCATTGACGTTGTTCCTCTGCGGGTGTACACAAATGTCGATGTCGCCGCCTCCACGGTTGTTCGCACTTTCTCATTGTCGTTCACGGACTGAGGATCCGGGCAATCAATTTCTACACCCTCTGCTTGCTCTTCCATTGGTAATCGACCCTCACTCGCAATCCCCCCGTCCGGAACTTCCATAGCCGCTTCGCCGTCTGTACCGTCCCCCTGGCCCACTAGCGTCTCGTCCTCGTGGTCATCGATGTGCACAGTGAATAACTTATCACACTCGCCCACAACCAACTCCTTTACCTTCTCTTTCGTGCGGGAGCCTTTGCCGAGTGTAACAAACGAGTCGTCCCACTGCAGCTGTAGAATGTCATCCCATTTTTCAAGCACCTTAGTCCATGTGTGGGCGACTTGAAGGCCCGAACCTGGTTGTGCCCATCCGAGATTTTTCGTTATCTGCCAGCACGGTGCACAATGTATTTGAGTTTGCGTGGTGTAACCCACACACATTTGGACGCACGCGAATAGATTGACTGCTAAAATTACTCACCCCCCCTGGAAATTGGAGTTACAAATCCGACAAACACGCCTTCATGTCGCGAACGACTATTTTGTCGTTCTTAGAGCTGTTGCCTTCAATGAATGTTGTGTACTCGACAATCAATTGCTCCTGCAACCATCTGTAGTCAAAGACAGAATAACTGTGAGAATCGTAAACCATCAAATTTCAATGGCAATGAGCAGCATGACGTACTGCAACAATTCTTGAGCAAAAGCTCCGTGAGGGTGAGTCGGGACACCACTCTTAGGGTCAAAGAAGATGACCCGTGTACGGTCTGTTCTACAGGTTGGAGTGCGGAGATCGCATGGAGCTAGGAGAACGAGGAGGCTGATAGCCACTTTCGGCTCGCTGCTCAATCTGCACATTGCAAACGCATATTGTTAGTGAACCTTTCTGTGAGGAAGGCGATATGCGAAAACGATAACACACTTACTTGGTCCACAGCGGGAATACGAGGGCTTCTTTGGTGAGGAGGCCGTCAGTTGGCTTCTTCGATATCGCTTTCGGATGGATTAGTTTAATCCGTTTCCGTACAAAGGATGAGGAAAAAATTGCAATCTTCTGCCGTTGCTGTATGGGGAGCAGATTCTTGGTTAATGTCAGTAGAGCTACACTGTGAGATCCCCGATCGATCCTAGGGGGGGTTACAGGCACGTTTGCCTGGGGGGTTATGGGCGCACTGACCTGCTACTAAAACAAGCCCTTTTATCCCAATGGTCTAGTGGTTGGGATCATGACATGGTATTAGAGCGGTCTCGGGTTCGAATCCCGGTGTATGCACATGTTGGCCGTTGCCACTGTGCTCAGTCCTGGGCCTCCCAGTGTGGGGGGGTGTCAGTAGAGCTACACTGTGAGATCCCCAATCGATCCTAGGGGGGGTTACAGGCGCGTTTGCATGGGGGGTTATGGGCGCACTGACCTGCTACTGAAACAAGCCCTTGTATCCCAATGGTCTAGTGGTTGGGATTCCGACAGTTAACACCCTGCATGTTAAAAGTTTTTAGAAAACCAGAGGTCGGTTTTAGTTTAGGGACGATCGATGCGGAGGGCTCAGAAGCCAACAATCTTTTTGTACAGAAGGCAGACTGTCAGAATGTTATGTTATCTAGCCTGCAGTGGGGTGCTCCATAGCGAGTACAACCCAGTTAGGGTTTGCTATTTGTATCCAACTGCTTGCTAGTGAACCTCCTCTTTCTTCATTCTTACTTTTTACTGTTGATTTTGACATGCTATCAGAGCAGGTCGATCCCCTTGGGTCGATCCTGTGGGTGGGCCCACCACCTAAAGCTTCCGCTGCTCTACTACTGTCGCGCGCCCCGAGCGCGCTACCCTTCCTTCCTGCCGCGGAGCGCGCGGCGAAATTTTTTCTTCCCGCCGCGCGTCTGCTGCGCGCGGCGGTTTTCTTGTGTGGCGCGCGCCCGGGGGGGCGCGCGGCCCTTTCTTCTTCCTGGCGCCCCCTTGCGAGCCGCGCGCTGCCCCCGCCCGTCCGTCGCGGCGCCCTGAGGAGTCGCGCGCGACCCCCCGCCCAGCTCGTCGCGGCGCTCTGGGGTGCACACGCAGCCCCGCCTTGCTCGTCGCGGCGCCCTGGGGAGCTGCATGCGCCTTGGGGAGCCGCATGCGCCCCCTGCTTGTCCGTCGCGGCGCCCTGGGGAGCCGCGCCCGCCCCCTGCCCTTTCGTCGCGGCGCCCTGGGGAGCCGCGCGTGCCCCATGCCCGTCCGTCGCGGCGCCCTGGGGAGCCGCGCGCGCCACCCCTATGCCCCGCCCGTCCGTTTTGGCACCCTGGGGGTCGTGAGCCGTCCCTCCCCTCGCTGTCCCCCGCGCTCCTGCCCCTATCCCACCCGTTTTAGGGTTTTGGGGGTGAGGGGTGTGGGGGTGGTGCTTGTGGCGGTTTCGGTTGTGCGCGCCGTCCCCTTCTCCTCCTCCTACTTCGTCTCCCACTCCTGCAGCTGTCACTGAGGGGGGTGGATGAGTGAGAGACTGGGGTTTAGGGTTTAAGAGGGGTGCCTTGGGAGTGGAGCTAGGGGTGAAACTGGGGGTGTGTGTGGGGGGGTGTGGGACTGCTTGGGGAGGCTGAGAGGAGGCTGCCGTCTTGTCGTCCGCAGCACCTGTAGTCCGGGGCGCTGTCCTGGTAGCTCAGAGAGCCTGCTGCGCCTGTCGCCCGTGGGTCCGTTGCTCCTGTAGCTCGTCGTAGCCCGTGAGCCAGTTACTCCAGTAGTCCGGGGCGCTGTCCCGGTAGCCACTGTGCCAGCCGCTCCTGTAGCCCGTGTGTCTGCAGCTTCAGCCGTCGTCTCCCATCTTCTCTCCTCTCACAGTCCCTCCTCCTCCTCACTTGCCCGCTGTGACTACCACTAGCTTTGCTCATAAGTGTGAACTTTAAACTGTTGCTTCTTGTAATTGTGCTCAGAATGTGTGGTGACATTGTGATCCACCCTGAGCTTGTTCTGCTTTGCTTACTGTGCTGATTACACCCCACTTTGGCTATGGGGGTGTGTCAGAATGTTATGTTATCTAGCCTGCAGTGGGGTGCTCCATAGCGAGTACAACCCAGTTAGGGTTTGCTATTTGTATCCAACTGCTTGCTAGTGAACCTCCTCTTTCTTCATTCTTACTTTATACTGCTGATTTTGACACAGACGCAGTACTTACAAGATAGCGAAGTTAAGAAGGTCATCTGACCATTCTTTCTGCGATCCGCTTAAAGTGTCGTAGTCTTCATTGGTAATGCTAACCTTCAAGCCGCAACCCCTAAGCAGAGGTGTGTCGGCCATGGCTTGCGCGACCCAGTACCTCTACTCAATTAGCAGTCGCAGGCTTGGAGTTAATAAGTCGCTATCTAAACTCTTGAAGCGGCCTCCGCCTAAGGTTGCTGAAGCACCGGGAACTACCCGATGAAGCTAGTAGAAGACCTCTCAGGAGATCTCTGCAGTCTGGGCGTAGGAAGCAAGATTGGATGCAAAAACCGGGAGAATGAGGTTGGTCGATGGACGCTGCAGCTAAAATGGATTGAATCGTAGGATTTCGAGCAGAGTTGAAGCTCGTGGTGCAACAACGACTGGGTCGCGTTCACCTGCGCCGATGGAACCTCTATTTTAGCGAATCTTTTAGTGGCCGTCATATGAGACTTCATGGTGTGCAGCATTTACTGTCTCGCCTAGTTGTTTTGAGCGGATGAACCCTTGGATAACAACCTCTCTATCTAAACGAGAACATGCTGTCTCCCTCGTAGGTTGGTGTTCGGAAGTTGGGGGGAATCTGCTCCACATCTGCGACCACGAATCACGTGCCTCTGGTGTCGCAGATGTTCTGCCAAGAACGGACACGTGGCGCCGTCACACTGAAGCCCTTATCTACGCAGCGGATGTTGTTTCTGACCTCTGCAGTGCACATCCAAATATGCGTCTGGAGATTACCGCCAGACGTTTTGTAAGGGCTGCCCGTAAAAAATATAAGTGGCGAAAGGGATCCCCAGATATCTGCGACCCTTAGTAAACTTGCGCGCCAGATAGAGTCTGACACGAACTGTCTCAGAGTAGGTCTCTGAGCCGATAAACACTGCCAGATGCAGAGTGTGCCCTATATTAACTATACATTTCGTGCTAGTCCCCTAGGTTGTGCCCAGACGCGATAAGAGTGAAGTGTAGTGTGAACTATTGTTCTATAATGTCAGAATGTTATTATCTAGCCTGTAGTGGGGTGCTCTATAGCGGGTACAACCCAGCTAGGGTTTGCTATATGTATCCCAACTGCTGCTAGTGAAACCCCTTTTTTCTGTTTCTAACTTTGTACTGCTACTTTTGACATGGTTTCAGAGCAGGTCGACCCCCTTGGGTCGATCCTGTGGGTGGGCCCACCACCTAATGCTTACGCTGCTCTACTGCTGTCGCGCGCCCTGGGCGCGCTACCCTTTTTTTCCGGTTTCCCTGTGTGGCGCGCGCCCGGGGGGCGAGCGGCTGTTTTTCTTCCTGGCGAGGCACGCGCGCCCCCCCGTCCGTCCGTTGTGCCGCCCTGGCGAGGCGCGCGCGGCCCTCGCCCGTCCGTCGTGGCGCCCTGGGGGGCAGCGCGCGCTCCCCGCCCGTCCGTCGTGGCGCCTTGGGGGCAGCGCGCTCGGCCCCTGCCCGTCCGTCGTCGCGCCCTCGGGGGCAACGCGCGGCCCCCGCCCGTCCGTCGTGGCGCCTTGGGAGGCAGCGCGCGCTCCCCGCCCGTCCTGTCGCGGTGCCCTGGCATGGCGCGCGCGGCCCCTGCTGTTTCATCGCGGCGCCCAGGCCAAGCGCGCGCGGCCCTTGCCGTTTCGTCGCGGCGCCCAGGCCAGGCGCGCGCGGCTCCTGCAGGACCGTCACGGCGCCTTGGCAAGGCGCGCGCGGCCCCTGCTGGTCCGTTGCGGCGCCCTGGCTAGGCGCTCGCGGCCCCTTCCTGTCCCGTCCCCCCCCCCCCCCTAGGGCTCACAAGACCAGT